TGCTTTGGCAATTATGATTTTTTTCCTAATAGGAGCAGTCAAGGAGTTATGTTTGAGAGTGTCGTGAAGGCAAGCCGTGAAATAATAGAATTTGGATGCAGCAAGGACCGGTCTCTTGTGAACATTTTTATCATGGGATTCATGAAGAAATGATTTTAAGAGGTTTGCTTTATGTGTTTCTTAATAGACTCACTTTATGATCTATATAATAAAGTAGCTAGATAGTTTGTCTTCAGCTTTTCGCAGTTTAGATCATTTGAGAATTATTGATCTAACGATCCTAATTAGACTTTCATTCCTTTTACAACTCTAAGTCCCCCATCTCTCATATAACTCTTTCTCTCACTCTATCTCATATACCCAACTTTCATACATATATAACTCTTTCTCTCTCTCTCAGACATTTTAAACACACTCTCTCATCTCTCATTCTCTCTCTCTCTATATATATCATACTCTATCTTTTAATATTGTTTGTCTTGACAATTCTAATTGAACTTCTTTACTTAAAAAAATTCAAAGTCAAACTAATCATCAATAAAAAAATAATAAGTGATATCAATTACACCAAAAAAAAAAAATCAGAATCAAGCTAATCACCAATAAAAAAAAAAAGTAATACCAATTGTACCAAAAAAAATCAGAGTCAAGCTAATAACCAATAAAAAAATAATAAGTGATACCAATTGTAAAAAAAAAAAACTAAAAAATTCAAAGTCAAGCTAATTACCAATATAAAAAATAATTGAAACCAATTGCAAATATATATAATATATATATATATATATATATATATATATATATATATATATATATATATATATAACTTGCACCCAAAAAAAATTAGAATCAAGCTAATCACCAATTAAAAAAATAAGTAATACCAATTGCACCAAAAAAATAAAAAAAAATCAGAACCAAGCTAATAACCAATAAAAAAATAATAAGTGATATCAATTGTACAAAAAAAACTAAAAAATTCAAAGTCAAGCTACTTACCAATATTAAAAATAATTGAAACCAATTGAAAAAATATATATATATTCAAAACCAACTATAACATTTTTTTCCCTTATTTGTATTACTTTCTCCTTGCTAATGTTCATATTTTTTTGAATACTTGAATAGTGCAAAATAGAAACCGAAACGACAAAAAGTCAATTAAATCAATTTTTTTTAAGTGGTGAAATTTTGATTTTGTTGATTTAGTTTAATTGTAGCGTGAGAATATTTCTATAGAATCCAAGAAGTCACAGCAACAGAGAATTCAAATCAATTTTCTTCGCAACTACAAACAGATCCACTAGTATCAATTCAAATCGATTGAGTTTTTTTCTATTTTTTGGAAATTTGATTTGTAGTTCAATGTGGTTAATTTATTTGATTGGATTCAATGATTTAATTATGTGTTTTTAATGATATTCCTTATTAAAAGTAGACAACCTATTCATTAGATTTAGCCAGAAGTTTAAAAATGAACACTCATTTGGTGGAAAGAAGAGTCGTCATGAAAAAGTTTATGGCATGATAATTTTGTAATGGTGTTAATTTAAATTCATGGGGATTCTCAGATTGTATTAATGTGATATGATTCTTCTTCTTTTCAACCCTTGGACTTCTTTTATTTAAAATATTCTTGGATGCCCTATTTGCTATGGCAAATTTTTTTGTATTAAGAGTGCCTTCAGACACGGGTAATGACTAGTATTTTTATATGTCTTTTGGATATCTTCTTTTCCAGAATCATGTCCAATAGGCCGACACTTGAGGCAGCAGTCAAGGAGCTATATTTGAGAGTCTAGTGAAGGCAAGTCGTGAGATAATAGAATTTGGATGGAGCAAGGACCAGTCTCTATCGCAAACTTTTATCATGGAATTGATGAAGAGGTTTGCTGTATCTGTTTCATTATAGACTCACTTTATGTTATTTTTAATTTCTTTTGGGCATCTTCTTTTTGAGTATCATGTGTGTGTCAAATCATGTACTACAATTTTTAAAGTGGCTTCAAATGAGGAGGTTTGTAGGCTTGTTACGATGTACTGATTGGTTGATGCATGTTTGTGGACAATTGATACCAAGCAAGGATTTTTGGCATTAGAATTGAAGTATTTTGGGTCTGCTTCAAAATTGGGCTACCTTGCGTATGGGGAGCCAGAAACACATCCTAAAAATGGTCCTGTTGAATCGATTATGGCTCAGAGGCTATTATTTGAATTTTTCATTGATTGTGTTGAGATTAGTATTGAGTCTTTACTAAACACACTCTCTCTTATCCATTTTTAATTGTGTCCCATAATTTGATATGAACAATGCTTCATTCTTTGTGTAGGTTGGTGGTTCACAATGTTATGCACTAATAAGCTGGTATGTTCTCTGATGTCCATTTGATTTGTGATTGGGCATAGTTTTTGCAGTTTGTCTCCCCCATTATGAGTTAAGATCGTGAACAGTGGTGTATCCTTTGTTGTTACAGATGCATTCAGAGATAAAATTTAACCTATAGTTTTTTCCTAGAATATGCACACCTAGACATGTATAGATAGTGTAATATCTGTATAAATTCTTGCACCTTTTCCATATTTTCATTTACCATAATGCACGATAATCTTTATGTGTGTATTTCTATTTCTAGAACAGTAATTGAAGCATGTTTATTCTCCATCTGACAGAAATAGAGAATGTGTGAAGAGCTCTTCAATTCCTTGCTGGATTTCTCCGGTTGGTGTCATTTGTGGTGGAGTGCTACTGCGTGTTCTGCTCATTCACTTTCATCCCCTTTGTGCTAAGTACATGTGGTCAGGTTCATTATTTGTTTACTCTGTTACCTTTTGCAGTTGTAACACATTTTTTGTTTTGGACTTGGATCTGTGACACATTAAATAAAATGCTTCTGCAATTATGATTTTTTTCTCCAAAAGGAGCAGTCAAGGAGCTTTGTTTGAGAGTGTCATGAAGGCAAGTCGTGAGATAATAGAATTCAGATGGAGCAAGGACCGGTCTCTTGTGCACACTTTTATCATGGAATTCGTGAAGAAATGATTTTGAGGAATATGTTTGCTTTATGTGTTTCTTCATAGACTCACTTGCTGGTATTTTTAATTTCTTTTGGGTATCTTCTTTTTCAGAATCACGTCCAATAGGCTGACAATTGGGGCTGCAATCAAGGAGCTATGTTTGAGAGTGTTATGAAGGCAAGCCGTGCGATAATAGAGTTCGGATGGAGTAAGGACCGGTCTCTTGATCACTTTTATCATGGGATTCATGAAGAAATTATTTTGAGGAAGAGGTTTGCTTTATATCTTTATTTATAGATTCACTTTGTGGTATTTTTAATTTCTTTTGGGTATCTTTTTTTCCAGAATCATGTGTCAAATCATGTACTACATTTTTTAAGGTGGCTTCAAATGAGGAGGTCTGTAGGCTTGTTACTATGCACTGAACTGGTTGATGCATGGTTGTGGACATTTGATACCAAGCGAGGACTTTTGGCATTTGAATTGAGGTATTTTGGTCTGCTGCAAAATTAGGCCACCTTGCATATGGGGAGACAGAAACGCAGCCTAAAAGGGTCCTTTTGAACCGATCATGGCTCATAGGCTATGGCTTGGATTTTTCTTGATTGTGTTGAGGTTAGTATTGAGTCTTTACCAAACACACTCTCTTTCGTCCAATTTTATTTGTGTCCCATAATTTGATATGAACAATACTTCATTCTTTGTATAGGTTAGTGCTTCACAATGTTTTGCACTAATTTGCTGGTGTTTGTTAGAGATGCAGTTAGTGATAAAATTTAACCTCTAGTTTTTTCCTGGAATATGCACACTTGGACATGTATAGATAGTGTAATATCTGTATAAATTGTTGCATCTTTCTCATATTTTTTTTTATCTTTATGTGTATTTCTCTTTCTATAAGAGCAATTGAAGCATGTTTATTCTCCATCTGACAGAAATTGAGAATGTGTGAAGAGCTCTTCAGTTCCTTGCTTGCTGTGATTTCCCTGGTTGGTGTCATTTGCGGTGGACTGATACTGTGTGTTCTGCTCATTCATTTTCATCCCCTTGTGTTAAGTGCATATGGTCAGGTTCATTATTTGTTTATTCTGTGTTACCTTATGCATTTGTGACACATTTTTTGTTTTGGACTTGGATTTGTGACGCATTAAATAAAATGTCTCTGCAATTATGATTATTTCCAGTAGGCTGACACTTGGGGCAACAGTCATGGAGCCATGTTCAAGAGTGTCGTGAATGCCAGCCGTGAGATAATAGAATTCGGACGGAGCAGTCTCTTCTGCACACTTTTATGATGGGATTCATGAAGAAATGATTTTGAGGAAGAGGTTTGCTTTATGTGTTTTTTCATAGACTTACTTTCTGGTATTTCTAATTTCTTTTGGGTATCTTTTTCAGAATCATGTCCAATAGCTAACAGTTGAGGCATCAGTTAAGGAGCTATGTTTGAGAGTTTCGTGAAGGCAAGTCCTGAGATAATAGAATTCAGATGGAGTAAGGACCGGTCTCTTGCGCACACTTTTGTGATGGGATTCATGAAGAAATGATTTTCAGGAAGAGGTTTGCTTTATGTGTTTCTTCGTAGATTCACTTTCTGGTATTTTTAATTTCATTTGGGTATTTTCTTTTCTAGAATCATGTGTGTCAAATCATGTACTACAATTTTTAAGTTGGCTTGTTACTGTGCACTGAACTGGTTGATGCATGGTTGGACAATTGATACTAAGCGAGAACTTTTGCCAATGGAATTGAAGTATTTTGGACCTGCTGCAAAATTAGTCCACCTTGCATATGGGGAGCCAGAAACATAGCCTAAAAGGGTCCTGTTGGACCAATCATGGCTCATAGGCCTATGGCTTGGATTTTTCATTGATTGTGTTGAGGTTAGTATTGAGTCTTTTCCAAACACTCTCATCCATTTTTATTTGTGTCCCATAATTTGATATGTACCATGCTTCATTCTGTTTGTAGGTTAGTGCTTCACAATGTTATGCACTAATAAGCTGGTGAGTTCTCTGATGTCCATCCGATTTTTGATTAGGCATAGCTTTCGCAGTTTGTTTCTCCCTCTTTATGGGTTGAGGTCGTGAACAATGGTGTATCCTTTTGTTGTTACAGCAGCATTCCGTGATAAAATTTAACCTCTAGTTTTTTCCTAGAATATGCACGCTTAATACATGTATAGATAATGTAATATTTGTATAAATTGTTGCATCTTTCCCATATTTTTATTTACCATAATACACGATAATCTTTATGTGTGTATTTCTCTTTCTAGAACAGCAATGTAGCTTGTTTATTCTTCATCTGACAGAAATTGAGAATGTGTGAAGAGCTCTTTAGTTTCTTGCTTGCTGGGATTTCCCCCGTTGTTGTCATTTGTGGTGGAGTGCTGCTGGGTGTTCTGCTCATTCACTTTCATCCCCTTGTGCTAAGTACATGTGGTCAGGTTGGTTATTTGTTTACTGTTTTACCTTCTGCGTCTGTGACGTATTTTTTTGTTTTGGACTTGGATCTGTGACACATTAAATAAAATGTTTGAGAGTGTCGTGAAAGCAAGCCTTGAGATAATAGAATTCGGATGGAGCAAGGACCGGTCTCTTGTGCACACTTTTATCATGGGATTCATGAAGAAATGATTTTGAGGAAAAGGTTTGCTTTATGTGTTTCTTAATTGACTCACTTTCTGGTATTTTTAATTTCTTTTGGGTATCTTTTTTATCAGAATCATGTCCAATAGGCTGACATTGAATTGATGAAGAAATGATTTTGAGGAAGAGGTTTGCTTTATGTGTTTCTTCATAAACTCACTTTCTGATATTTTTAATTTCTTTTGGGTATCTTCTTTTCTAGAATCATGTCCAATAGTTGACACTTGGGGCAGCAGTTAAGGAGTTATGTTTGAAAGTATCGTGAAGGCAAGTCTTGAGATAATAGAATTCAGATGGAACAAGGACCAGTTTCTTGCACACACTATTATCATGGGATTCATGAAGAAATGATTTTGAGGAAGAGGTTTAATTTATGTGTTTATTCATAAACTCACTTTCTGGTATTTTTAATTTCATTTGGATATCTTCTTTTTTAGAATCATGTTTGTAAAATCATTTATGTGTCAAATCATGTATTACAATTTTTAAGGTGGCTTCAAATGAGGTCTGTAGGCTTGTTACTATTCACCGAACTGGTTGATGCATGGTTGTGGACAATTGATACCAAGCGAGGATTTTTGGCATTTGAATAATTGAATTGAGGTATTTTGGGCCTGCTGCAAAATTAGGCCACCTTGCATATGGGGAGGCAGAAACGCAGCCTACAATGGTCCTGTTGAACTGATCATGGCTCATATGCTATGGCTTGGATTTTTCTTTGATTGTGTTGAGGTTAGTATTGAGCCTTTACCAAGCACACACTCTCTCATCCATTTTTATTTGTGTCCCATAATTTGATATGAACAATGCTTCATTCTTTGTGTAGGTCAGTGCTTCACAATGCTATGCACTAATAAGTTGGTGTTTTCTTTGATGTCCATCAGATTTGTGGTTAGGCATAGCTTTCACTGTTTGTTTCTACCTCGTTATGAGTTGAGGTCGTGAATGGTGGTGTATCCTTTTGTTGTTACAGATGCTCTAGTTTTTTTTCTAGAATATGCACACCTAGACATGTATAGATAATGTAATATCTGTATACACTATTGCATCTTCCCTATATTTTTATTTATCATTGTGTGTGTATTTTTCTTTCTATTACTGTTATTGAAGCATGTTTATTCTCCATCTGACGGAAATTGAGAATGTGTGAAGAGCCCTTCAGTTTCATTATTTGTTTACTCTGTTACTTTCTGCATTTGTGACACATTAAATAAAATGTTTCTCTAATTATGATTTTTTTTCCCATTACGCTGACAATTGGGGCAGCAGGCAAGGAGCTATGTTTGAGAGTGTTGTGAAGGCAAGGCGTGAGATAATAGAATTCAGATGGAGCAAGGGACGGTCTCTTGTGCACACTTTTATCATGAGATTCATGAAGAAATGATTTTGAGGAAGATATTTGCTTTATGTGTTTCTTCATAGAGAGACATCAAATTGCAAACCCATATGATAATGCGTGCATGTGCATGTAGACTCTCTTTCTGGGCATACATGGTTGGGTCATATGCAGTGCATGCACCCTTTTATATGGGTTATATGGTCAATTTCTAACATATCAAAATTTTCCCCTAACTGGTATGCTTTGCTTTTCTCAATCAATACCGACGGTAATATTAGAGGAAATATTGTTGCTTTTACGCACATTCTGTTATTCAACCTTTTTCTTAAAAACTTATTACTTCAGATTGTTCTGTGTTTGGTTTGCTGTTCTATACATATGGCTATGCAGATGTAAGTTTAATTGCGTATCGATTGTAAATTAAAGGTTACTTGTCATTACTAGTTCTGTTTCATTTAGAGGTGTCGTCAAAAAGTTGATTTAATTAATCGGTGGTGGAATTAATTACCTTATTTTCTCATGTTTGTGGTGGATAGGTTACCTTGTTTATTTGAAGAGGCAATGAATCAGGTGGAGGTTTCTGCAGTTTGCAAGAGTAATTTGCACATTCTAGTCTTTTGTCCACAAAGGATACTATCATTTTTTTTTCTGGTGAACAGTGTAAAATTATTTATCTCAAATGGTTTAATTAATTGCTTTTTAAGAACAATTTATTTTAGGATCAACATGGATGGAAGATCTTTGACTAGCATCATGGATCATATTACTTTATGATTTGGTTTGGTACGATTTATCTTTTGAAATAGTTGTTTCTGCAAATTGTGATCCCTGTTCGTGGATCTCTTCACCAATCGTCTATTGGACAGAGCTTGTTAACCAAGGAAACCTGGAAATTTGCTGGAGTGGGACAGATTTTTTTGTGTCTCTTCATGGCTGAAATATGTTCAGATTTTGGTCCTACTGTGACGTTACGGTCCTATGTTGCTCCTCCTCTGGATCCATTTGTTTTTTGTAGTAATGTATTAGTTTCTTGCCCACAAGGAAAAGAGAAGCCAAATTAAGACAAGCTCAAAACACAGCTTTTTGGTAAGTACAATTTAATGGTGTGAAAAATTGTTCAAACCTTATTTGTGATCGTTGGTGCCCCTATGAAAATCATTTCTTAATATTTTTCTTACGTATCCTAGTTCTTCTCAATATTTTTTAGTATTCTACTTTTTCTTCTTCTTCTTCATATTGTTCCGTTCATCTTTTTCTTCGTAATAGTTTTCTTCTCAGCTTTTCTTTTTCTTTTTCTTTTTCTTAGTATTCTTCTTCTTCTTCTAAGTATTCTACTTTTTTTTTTATTTTTCTTTTTCTTCTTCTTGTTCTTGTTTTTCTTTCTTTTGTTTTCTTCTTTTTCTTGGTCTTCTAAGTAGTAATTATTTTTAGTGTTGTTATTCTTGTTCTTTCTTTTGTTTTTGTTTTTCGTAATATTCTTCTTCTAAGTTTTATTTTTCTTCTTCTCAACTCTTATTATTCTTCTTTTTCTCAATATTGTTGTTCTTTTTCCTCGCCTTCTTAATATTGTTTTTTTTAATGTCTTTCTTCTGCTTAGTACTCTTTGTTTTCTTCTCAGTACTTTTGTTCATCTTCTCAGTATTCCTCCTCATTTTTGTGTTTTTATTCATCTTTTTAGTTTTGTACTTCTTCTGAGCATTCTTCTTCTTCTTCTAAGTAGTAGTCTCCTCAATAGTCTTCTATATTCTTCTTGAATTCAGTATTCTTTTTCTTCAATTCAATATTCTACTTCTTAGGATTCTCAATATTCTTTTTTTAATAGTATTCATTTTTTTCTTCTCACTATTCCCCCTCTTTTCTCGGTATTCTTTTTCCCCCCCAAGTCTTCTCACAATTTTTTTTTCGTCTTCTTTTTTCTGGTTCTCAGATTTTTTTTCTTTAATAGTATTCTTCTTTTTCTTTTCCTTCTCAATATTCTTCTTCTTAGTATTCTTATGCGTTTCAATATTCTTCTGTATTTTCTTAGTATTTGTTAGCATCCTTCATTTACTTTTTCTTTTTTCAGTATTCTTCTTTTTCTTCTTCTTTGTCTTCTGAGTATTCTTCTTATCTCCAATCTAATTCTTCCTCATATTTTCAGCATTCTTCTATTTTTTTCTTAGTTTTCTTCATCTCAATATTCTTTTTCTTATCAGTATTCCTCTTCTTTTCTTCTCACTATTATTCTTCTTTTTTTTGTTTTTGCTTCTTTTTCTTCTTCGTTGCCCTCTTCTTTTTCTTCCTCTTCTTAGTAATTTTCTCAATTTCTTCTTCCCTTCAATATTCTCCTTATTTTTTCTTAGCATTGTCCTTCGTACTCGTCTTCTTTTTCTTCTTTTCGACATTCTTCTCTTGTTCATTTTCTTGATATTCATTTATTCTTTTTCTTCTTCCTTTGAGTATTCTTCTTTGTCTTCCTTTTGTTCATTACTCTTTTTCTTCTTCATCTTTTTTTTTTTTCGATATTCTTCTCTTGCTCAATAGTATTCTTCTTCTGATCAGCATTTTTCTCCTTCTTTATATGAGGATTCTTCTTCTTAGGTTTTTTCTCATTTTCTTATATTCAGCATTCTTCTTTTTTGTTCTCTGTATTCTTCTTATTCTTTGTTCAATATTCTTTTTGGTTCTTTTTTTAAGTAATCTTTTCTTCTTAATATTCTTCGTAGTATTCTTTTTCCTTGTATTTTTTTTCTTCGTCTTTTTCTCAGTATTCTTTTTCTTTCGAGTGTTTATCTTCTTCTGTTTTTGGTTTTTCAGTATTTTTCTTAAGCATCTAGGTTCTTCTCAGTATTCTACTTTTTCTCAATGTCATTCTTCATCTTTTTCTTTATAATAGTTTTCTTCTCAATTTTTCATTTTCTTATTATTCTTCTTCTACTGTTATTTTTCCGTATTCTTCTTCTTGTTCTTTTTCTGTCTTTTGTTTTCTTCTTTTTCTTGGTCTTCTTGGAACTAATAATTTTTAGTATTGTTCTTCTTGTTCTTTCTTTTGTTTTTTTCTTCTTCTAAATATTCTTCTTCTAAGTATTTTTTTTTCTTCTCAACTCTTATTCTTCTATGTCGTTGTCTTCTTATCAATAGTTTTTTTGTCAATATTGTTGTTCTTCTTCCTCGCCTTCTTAGTATTTTTCTTCTCAGAATTCCTCTTCTTTTTTGTGTTCTTATTAGTGTTCTATTTCTTCTGAGCATTCTTCTTCCAAGTAGTTTTCTTCTTCTTCTAAGTAGTCTTATTCTTGGTAATTGTCGATGTTCTTATTCTTGAATTCAATATTCTTCTTCTTTAATTCAATATTCTACATATATTTTTTCTTAGGATTCTTAGTATTCTTCTTTTTAGTCGTATTCTTTTTTTTCTTCTCATTATTCCTCCTCTTCTTCTCGGTATTCTTTTCCCCACAATTTTTTTTTGTCTTTTTTGTTATCGTTTTTCTTGGATTTTTTTCTTTTGTATTCTTCTTTTTCTTCTCCTTCTCATTATTCTTTTTCTTACTATTCTTTTTTCTTTTTCTCTGTATTCTTATGCGTTTCAATATTCTTTTGTATTCTTCTTAGTATTTGTTTGTATCCTTCTTTTTCTTTTTCCTTTATAGTATTCTTCTTTTCCTTCTTCTTTGTCTTCTCAGTATTCTTCTTATTTCCGATCTACTTCTTCATCATCTTCTCAGCATTCTTGTACTTCTCTTTCTCAATTTTCTTCTTGTTTTTCTTTTTTCTCATTTTTCTTCATTTAAATATTCTTTTTCTTCTCAGTATTCTTCTTTATTGATCTGAGAATTCTTTTTCTTCTTCTTCTTCTTCTTAGAAGTTTTTCAATTTCCTCTTCCGCTCGGTACTCTCCTTCTTTTTCATAGTGTCGTCCTTCTTACTCAGCCTCCTCTTTTTTTTTGCATTATTCTCTTGTCATTTTTCTCAATATTCGTTTTATTCTTTTTCTTCCTTTCAGTATTCTTCTTTGTCTTCCTTTTTTCCAGTACTCTTTTTCTTCTTCGTCTCAATATTCTTTTTTATCTTTTTTTTTCTTTTCCGGTATTCTTCTTCTACTCATTCTCAGTAGTATTCTTTTTGTCTTCTTCTTACTCTCCTCTTTCATTTGCTTCTTACTATGCTTCTTCTTGTTAGCATTCTTCTCCTTTATATAATATTTTTTTTCTTAGGTTTTTTCTCCTTTTCTTATTTTCAGTGTTCTTTTATGTTTTCTGTATTCTTCTTCTTCTTTGCTCAATATTCTTTTTTGTTCTTCTTTTAAGTATTCTTTTTTTTCTTAATATTTTTCTCAATATTATTTTTCTTGGTATTATTCTTCTTTGTCTTATTCTCAATACTCTTTCTCATTTTCTTCAGCTTTTGGCTTCTTCTCATTATTTTTCTTAAGTATCTTGATTCTTCTTAGTGTTCTTCAATTTTCTTCTTCTTCTCAATGTTGTTGTTCTTCATCTGTTTCTTCATAATGATTTTCTTCTCAGTTTCTTTTTCTTTTTCTTAGTATTCTTCTTCTACTTCTAAGTATTCTAATGCTATTTTTTTCGGTTCTTCTTTTTCTTTCTTTTGTTTTCTTCTTTTCCATGGTCTTCTTAGTCCTAATAATCTTTAATATTGTTCTTCTTGTTCTTTCTTTTGTTTTCTTTTTCTTAGTATTCTTTTTCTAAGTACTTTTTTCCTTCTCAACTCTTACTTTGTCGTTGTCTTCTTTTTAGTAGTCTTTTTCTCAATATTGTTGTTCTTTTTTCTCGCCTTATTAGTATTCTTGTTCTCAGTACTCTTTTTCATCTTCTCAGCACTCTTGTTCATCTTCTCAGTATTCCTCCTCTTTTTTGTTTTCTTATTCAACGTCTCCATGTTCTCCTTCTTTTAAGCATTCTTCTTCCAAGTAGTCTTCTCCTCGGTAGTCATCTATATTCTTCTTCTTCTTGGATTTAGTATTCATCTTCTTCTTCTTCAATTCAATATTCTACTTATATTTTTCCTTTAGGATTCTCAATATTCTTCTTCTTTTTAGGAACATTCTTTTTTTTTTTTTTTCCTTTTCTTCTGTTTCTCAGTATTCTTGTTTCCCAAGTCTTCTCAGAATTTTTTTCTTGGATTTTTTCCTTTAGTATTCTTCTTTTTCTTCTCCTTCTCACTTTTCTTCTTCTTAGTAGTATTCTTTTTCCTTTTTCTCTGTATTCAATTCTTCTTAGTATTTGTTAGTATCCTTCTTTTTCTTCTTCCTTTTCATTATTCTTCTTTGTCTTGTCAGTATTCTTCTTATATCTGATCTACTTTTTTGTCATCTTCTCAGCATTCTATTTCTCTTTCTCAATTTTCTTGTTTTTCTTTATCTCATTTTTCATCATCTCAATATTCTTTTTATTCTTGGTATTCTTCTTCTTCTTCTCATTATCATTCCTCTTTTTCTTATTCTTCTTGGCAATGTTCTTCTTTTTCTACTTTTTCGTTGTTTTCTTTTTCTTCTTCCTCTTCTCAGAAGTTGTCGTGGAATCTCTTCCTCAATATTCTCCTTATTTTTCTTACTGTTGTCCTTATTCATCCTCCTCTTCTTTTTTGCGTTCTTCTCTTGTTCTTTTTTTCAATATTCCTTTTATTCTTTTTCTTCTTCCTTTCAGTAGTTTTCTTTTTCTTCTTCCTCTCAGTATTATTTATCATCTTTTTTCTTTTTCTTTTTCGATATTCTTCTTCTTCTTCTTCTCAGTAGTATTTTTTTTGTCTTCTTCTCACTCTCCTTCTTCTTCTTTGGCTTCTTAGTATTCTTCTTCTTGTCAGCATTCTTCTCCTTCTTTATATGAGTTTTTTTTTTCTTAGTTTTTTTCTCCTTTTCTTATTTTCATCATTCTTCTGTTTTATTCTATGTATTCTTCTTCTTCTTTGCTCAATATTCGTTTTTGTTCTTCTTTTAAGTATTCTGTTTGTTCTTAATATTCTTCTCAATATTCTTTTTCTTGGCATTATTTTTCTTTGCCTTATTCTTAGTATTTTTTCTCTTTCGAGTGTATATCTTTTTCTTCAGTTTTTGGCTTCTTCTCATTATTTTTCTTAAGTATCCTGGTTCTTTAGTATTCTACTTTTTCTTCTTTTTAGTATTGTTCTTCATCTTTTTCTTCGTAAAAGTTTTTTTTTTAGTTTTTCTTTTTCTTTTTCTTGGCATTCTTCTTCTATTTCTAAGTATTCTTCTACTATTTTTCCATATTCTTCTTCTTGTTCTATTTTTCTTTTGTTTTCTTACTCTTCTCAATACTAATAATCTTTAATATATTCTTGTTCTTTCTTTTGTTTTTTTTTCTAAGTATCTTTTTCCTTCTTCTCGGCTCTTATTCTTCTCCGTCGTCGTCTTCTTTTTAGTAATCTTTTTCTCAATATTTTTGTTCTTCTTCCTCGCCTTTTTAGGATTCTACTTCTTCTAAGCATTCTTCTTTCAAGTAGTCTTCTTCGACTTCTTCTAAGTAGTCTTCTCCTTGGTAGTCGTCAATATTCTTCTTCTTGAATTCGGTATTATTCTTTTTCTTTTTCAATTCAATATTCTACTAATATTTTTGCATAGGAATCTCAATATTTTTCTTCTTTTTAGTAGCATTCTTTTTTTTTTCCTCACTATTCCTCCTCTTCTTTTTATTTTTTTATTCTTCTTCTTAATATTCTTTTTCCCCCAAGTCTTCTAACAATTTTTTTCTTGGTCTTCTCGGATATTTTCCTTTAGTATTCTTCTTTTTCTTTTCCTTCTCACTATTCTTCTTAGTATTTTTTTTCTTTTCTTGCTCTCAGTATTCTTCTTCATCTTTTTTTTTTCCCGATATTTTTTTGCATCATCTCCTTCTCAATAAAATTTTTTTCTTCTTCTTTTGCTTCTTAGTATCTTTCTTCTTGTCAGCATTATTCTCCTTTATATAAGTATTCTTTTGCTTAGGTTTTTTCTCGTTTTCTTATTTTCAGCATTCTTCTTCTTTGTCGTTATCTGTATTCTTCTTCTTATTTGCTCAATATTCTTTTTTGTTCTTCTTTTAAGTATTCTTTTTCTTCTTCTTAATTTTCTTCTCAGACTTTTTCTTCTTCTTCTAAGTATTGTTCTTCTTCATCTTTTTCTTCGTAATAGTTTTCTTCTCAGTTTTTCTTTTTTTCTTTTTATTTTTTTGGTTTGTTGTTAGTATTTTTGTTCTTTGTCTTTTTCTAAGTATTCTACTTTTTTCCATATTCTTCTTCTTCTTATTTTTCTTGGTATTTGTAGTACTAATAATCTTTTTTTCCGTATGTTTCTTTGTTGTCGTCTTCTTTTTCTTCTTCCTCTTCTAAGTAGTTTCTCAGTTTCTTCTTCCTCTCTGTATTCTCCTATTTTTTCTTAGTGTTGTCCTTCTTACTCGTTTTCTTCTTCTTTTTTGCATTATGTTCTTGTTTTTTTTCTCTATATTCCTTTTATTCTTTTTTTTTCCTTTTTCCTTTTTTTTTTGTATTCTTCTTTTGCTTTTTAGTATTCTTCTCCTTCTTCTTTATATGAGTATTATTTTTCTTAGCTTTTTTCTCTATTTCTTATTTTCAGCATTCTTCTTCTTTTTCGTTCTCCGTATTCTTCTCCTTCTTTATATGTGTATTATTTTTCTTAGCTTTTCTCTCTATTTCTTATTTATAGCTTTCTTCTTCTTTTTTGTTCTCCGTATTCTTTACTTCTTTTCTCATTTTCCTTGGAAGTATTCTTTTTTCTTCGTCTTAATATTCTTCTCAGAATTTTTTTTCGTGATATTCTTCTTCTTGGTCTTTTTTTGTTTTCTTCTTTTTCTTTATCTTTTTAGTACTTATAATCTTTTGTATTCTTCTTCTTGTTCTTTCCTTTTTTTTTTAATGCAGTATTCTTCTTTTTGTGAGTATTCTTCTTCTTTTTCCCATTAAATCTTTTTCTTCTAAGTATTCTTCTTCTTTTTCTATTTTTGAGTCTTATTCTCAATCTTCTTCTTTTTCTTGAAGGTGGCGGTGTCAATCAACGATTTGGCATGTTCTGAGAGTCTGAGACACATTGATCGCAACGTTGTGTTACAATATCGGATGATATATGGAAAACACAAAATAGAAAGTCCAAAATATTTCAAAAAATCCTATAGCCTACAAATAATAAATACATGCACCGTACACCTAAATTATGTCATTTAGCATATTAAAGTGCTCCTAAAAATATATATGAGATTCACTAAGTATATTAGTGTAAATCTATTTATAAAATATATACAAGCAATTAAAGATTAATAGAAGTCTGTGCCTTTGGGACACATGTAGTTACAATAGTTTTTGGCATTTGAGGTCATTATATGGTTGTTTTTGAGACTTAACATGAAGTCTCAAAGGCTCTTAAAATGACATCAATTGTTTAAAACTTACAAAAGTTACACAACGAAGACTTTTAGTTTTGCGAGAGAGAGGAGGGAGAAAGAGAGGGATGACACCTGAGGAAAGGAATGATGTTTTCCCTCTTTGAGATCAGAGCATGGCTACTTGAGCCATTGGGTGTTCGCGATTGAGTGTGGGTCAAGGTAGAGAGATGGTGTTGGTGCACAAATTGTGACAACATGAAGAAAATGAGTGGGTAGTGCCTTTGTATTCAGTGTGATGACTTAAATTTTTCATGTTTGACGACAAATTCTTTTTGTTTATTTTTTTGGTTATGACGTTGATTCTGGATTTTAATCTCCAAATTTTTCTCCGTATTTAATTTTTTTCACTATTTCCTTTTTTGGTTGTCTATTTGTTAAATGACTCATGCATCTCAGTTGACTTGATTGCAGTTTTATGAATTAGACAAGTCGACTTTGAGCTAGCTCTAGTCTATTGAGTCAAGACCTATTCAAGTTAGATTCCTAATTTTTGTGTAATGTGTACCGTTATCGGATTCAAGAAGGAACTGTCGGATTGAGTTATTTTGAGCCGGGCATGCATCTTTTTCTTCTTCGTATTCCTTTTTTACCTTTCATTGTTGTTTTTCTCCTTATTTTAACTATTAATGTTATTTTTCTTCGTCTTCTCAGTACTTTTCTTTTTCTTCTCAAGATTCATTCTTGTTCTTCTCCAAATTAATTAATCCTCTAGTAGTATCATAGTTAACATGTCTTAGCCTAACATGTCATGTTTTTGAAGATTCAAGCAAGAGGAATTATTCTCATTCGTATTATTAATAGATTTGGGTACAACGGTTATTACATTGAGTTTAAAAAGCCCGTCACTCAAGTATCATTTTCCTGCAAACATTTAATTCTTGGTGAATACAAATTTATCGAATATAAAAACTAACTTAAAGCCATTTTTGCTAAGTAGAGAGCCGGACACCAAATTCTTGCGAATGTTAGAGACAAAAAGCCCTTCGTTTAAGATAAGGTCTTTCCCAGAGGTCATTTTTAGTTTCACCTTAACACATCCTTCAACCTTGGAGGTAGAAAATTTTTTCATTATTCATCATTCTCTAACTTTTTATAAGTAGAGAACATTTATTTGTTTGAACAAGTACGTCGAGTAACGTCGGTATCAACCCACCATTCCTTGTGGGTTACCCACCAAGTTACATTAAGAGACAACTACTCCAAGGTTTATTTCGGAGACTTCCATTGAAAGCTTATCCGTTTCCGTCACATTTGCTTGAGCATTTGACTTCTTGAAGTTTTTTGGCTTACAACAGCTTTTAGAGAGATGTCTAGGGTTGTCACAATTATAGCACTTGCCTTTGAACTTCTTAGATCTTTGATTGGACCTCCATCGGTATGCTTCCTCTTGTTGTTGTTCCACCTTTCACAATATTGACTTTAGATTTCATGGAATTAAAGACTCCAATTTTCTTCTTAGATTTGTGGTTATCTTCCTCAATCCTTAAACAAACAATCAATTCTTCAAGTTTTATCTCCTTGTGTTTATGCTTGAGATAGTACTTGAAATCCTTCCAAAGTGGTGGTAGTTTTTCCATGATTGTAATTCACAATCACTTGGAATGAGTCAATAAGAGGACATACCCTCGGCATGGATGTCATTAAGGATAACTTGAAGTTCTTGAATTTAAGTTATGATGGTCTTTGAATCCACCATTTTATAATTCAAGAATTTGTCAACAATGAATTTTTTTGTACTAGCATCCATGGTTTTATATTTCTTGTCCAAAGACTTTCAAAGTTCTTTTGCAGATTTGACAGCACTGTACACATTATATAGTGCATTTTTTAGTCTGTTTAAGATGTAATTTCTACACAAGAAATCTGAATGCTTCTAAGCATCTACAACAACCGTCTTTTCCTTGTTAGTTTCATTTGCATCAATTAAAGGAACTTCTTCATTGAGAAACTTTGCAAGGTTCAGGTTGGTGAGATAGAAAAACATCTTTTGTTGCCAATGTTTAAAGTTCAAGCCTTTAAATTTTTCGGGCTTTTATCCATGAGACATAGTAGAAACAAAATTTGTTGTAGCTATTTCTGTTACACAAACTGAAGCAAATAGTATTCTGGTTTTAACAAAGTATTGTATAACATAATACAAAATTCTGATTTAGATAGAACAATAATTAATATAACTATATAACGAAAACAAATTTGGTTGAAATCTATCTTAAGATTATTATCCCACATATAATCAGAATTGAATTAGAATTATTGTAACAAATCTAAATATATAATCACTAAGTATGCTGTTATATGCAAACTATTTATGTAAAAATAGAATGTATCATAAAAAACTGAAATGACGCACTTACTTGATTGTAGAATAGCAATAAGAAAATAATAGAATTAAAAAATAATCCGAGCCCTGTGAATCATAGTTTTTTTAAGATAGATTTGTTCCCTCTCAGTGCTTAAGATTGATAAGCAACTGTCTCTTAAGATAGAATATATTTTATTTTTGAAAAAGTAGCACTTCAATCTTAAAAATTGTAACGAACACAACTTTGTTTTTTGTACTTGAATCAAATAGAAATGCAATAGTATGCAGAATTTTTTTGTATGTTTTTTATATATAAAAATGGTTTCAAGGTAGTTCTTTTATAGACCCTCTTGTGTCTGTTCAGATTGGCTGAAGAAGCACGAGACACCACTGTTCATTATACCTTTCAGATTGAAAAAACACATTGTTAATCTGAACAGTAACGAAAGGAAATGTTACATTGGGAGTGTGAACTAATCCACAGCAAAATAGTGTTAAATTTTAAATTTCGATTGGAAGAATAAGTTCGATCCAAATTCAGATTCTTTTAGTTTGACCCATAACCAACACAACACCAAATAAACTTTCAGCAAAAAGATAATATCTTTTGGCGGGCGAGCGGCGCGCATGTGGTAACCAAAGTTGTGTTGATGCTCGTTCCGTTTACAAAAGCGTGGTACTGCTTTGGGCCTATTCTCAAGTCAATACTAGAAGGTTAATATTAGAAAAAATGTTGTTGCTTTTAAATATTCTATATGTTATTCCTACCTTTTCTTAAAGAGCTATTTGTTCAGATTGCTATGCATTTGGTTTTTTGTTCCATATTCGTATGAAGATGTAAGTTTAATTTGGTATTTTGCTCTAAACTAAAGGTTATTTGTCATTTATGAGGTCTGTTTCATTTAGTGGATTTGTTTGAAAGTTGGTTTAATTAATTGGTAGAGGGATCTCTTATTACCTTATTTTTTTTCATTTAATTAATTGTTAGGGGCGATGAATCAAGGGGGGGTTTCTGCAATTTTACAGGATTAATTATACATTTTGGTCTTTTGTTTGTAAAGGATACTATCATTTTTCTTTCTGGTCAACACTATAAAATTCTTTATCTCATTGATTTCATTTTTCATTGATTGTTCTCTAAAAACAATTTGTTTTAGGATCAACATGGTATTAGTACTTCGCATCTCTTGTTTTTCAGTGTTTCTTGGAGATCATTTTATGAATGCTCCTAATGCTGTTGGATGTTTGGGTGAGCAAAAGATTGGCAAATTGGATGAAACTTTGTATCACCATAGGAAATGAGAATCATAGTTTGGATGGTTAAGGTCAACAATTTGATGAATCTGTTATAACTTCTAAAAAGTCTAGTGAGTATAATTTAGTTGATGAGAGACTGTGGAAAGACTTCATTCCAGTGGATGTGTGGGATTAATTGATTTCAGAATTACTTAGTGGATAGGTTCAAAGTTTGTCGCCTGGTTACTTGGGTTTGAGATTGAAATCATGTGAAATAAGGTTGACTGGATTAAGATTTAAGACAGAGATGATATATAAATAATAGATACCTTAATTTATTTTGCATTCCCTTTCAATTACAAGAAAAAAAAGAAAAGCAGCTAGTTCTTATTAAGCAACTTCATATTATACACTTGCTAGCTGATCTGCATGTTTTTGTCAGAAGCCTGAAGTGGTGGATATGATATTGCCACTCATTGTAGAAATTCTAGAAGGGGGGTGACACTACAACTCTTGGCTTATTGCGACTCCAAGTATGTATGAACGTATCCTTCTCAAGCATGCGTTAAATGCATCTACAGGTTTTCTTCTAAGGTTTGGAAGTTCACTTGAATTTATCATTCAAATGGCTAACACTAAAATTAAATCTGTCGCATGGTGTCCCAATCTTTCTTTGTGGAGTTGCTGCTTCTTCTTGATGTGGTTTCCGGCACATTGAGTTTAGATTTTGAATCTGATTATGAAGTTGTTGTCTGATGACACGAAGTTACTTGATAAAGCTCTCTAGTGTTGGATGTGCTAAAAGTGAAACCCTGGCACCAGAAGCCATGGACAGATCATGTGATTAGGGTTTCCCTTTTGCTCGACTCTCTTTAACTTCTGTCTTTCACTCCCGAAGCCCTTTTCTGACTTCAATCCTCCCTTCTTATCTTTATTCTATCCAACTTTGAAGTCGGAGAAAGCTTTTTGTTAACAAATCGGAGTTCGCCTGCCATTTTCTATCTATCTAAGTCGAACGAAGCTGTTAAAGGAGCGTTTGGAAAGAGCACCAAGGAGGAAGAAGAAGAAAAGGGCAACCCCGTGAAACTACACCGATGTTTGTCCCACGTTAAGGTATGTATGTTGTAGCTCTTAACATGTGAATAGTATGAGGCATTATCAAGCTTTAATCTACCAGCTGTTTGCTCATTCGTTCAATCCGATTTCTACACACTTCCTACAGGTTTTCATCTGGTTTGCGAGCAGTCTTAATGGAACTAAATTGAGGTCAGACTATTTTCATTGGATGCTATCTTTGTGCTCAGATGTAGGGTTGGCTGCAGAGTCTAGAAGTGGAAGGTAAGATACACTAGTATTGCCTGAAGTCATGGCATGGTTCAATTTATTTTGATCTATCTTTTGAAGTGATTTTTCTTATGAATTGTGCTCCCTTTTGGTGGATTTTTTCTTTAGTGTTCGATTATACAGAGCTTTCATCACAAAAGATACCTGGAAATTTGGAGAGCGGATTTTCTTTCGCCTCTACTTCCTAATGAGGCTGAAATATGTTCAGATTTTGATCCTACTGTCAAGGTTGAACCTTCACTTTTGAAGTTATTTTGCAACTTGTGGTCCTATGTTGCTCTCTTTTGGTTAGCACCTCCAATATGGAAACTTTGTCCCAGATAAAGTCAATTTCCACTACAATGAAGATTGTGGGGAGCATGGATGCAGTTGCTCTTTAAGCAGTAAGTGGACCATGTATGTGCAATACTCAGTGGTTTTCTTCTGTTCAACGTATATCTCAAGGGACGCCACAGCTCGTCAGTTGATCTTCAACAGAAACTCGCATGATTCTATTTTCCATTTGAATTAATCATGAATTTTTTTGGTCATCCAAATGATATTATTTCTGTATAGTTATGTATTATGATGTGTGTTGTCAATGCACATAATATCTCTTTGCTTTCTTTTCTTTACCTCATAATGGGACATGTTTGTGGCATGTCTTACACATATCTGAGAGTGCAGAGGTGCATCACATCTGACATAAATACATCTGTGTCTAATACTATTCTTGCTTCTTATAGGTGGAATGACTTGAGATGAGACAGTCAATCTATAAAGCTTTGACACTACCTGTGTTCTTACAGGTTGATTTAGTTCTGTGAAACTTGAAGATGAGTTGGAACTTAATGCTCTTGATAACCCTAGCAGCCGTGGCAATGATTAAGCTGTTGTAAGCCAAAGACTTACTCTTTCTACTGCTTTAGCCTTTAGGTGGGCAACTTGACGTTGCCACAATGAGCACAACTCAGGTATAGCAAACGCCTACTATTTACTAGTGAAACAGATATGAATTCTCAATGTTTCTTGTTTGCTTTGCTAACAGGTGATTGTTGACTACAAATATTGAGAAAATTAGTTGGCTTTGGACTGTGCTTAGTTGGCTTCACTGCTTACAACATTCTTCAAATTAGAGGTTATAGTTTATACTTATACAAATGATGTTGAAATGAGCCTTCTCTAACTTCTACGGTTGTCGAGGCAACTTATCTATTTGCGGTAGCTCGATGGTAGCATCTTCAATTGTGGACCTGTTTCAACTGCTTCCAGAAGTGCATTTAGTTGTGTCTTTGAATACCTGAACAGTCCAAGTCTTATGCCGGCTGTGTTCCTGTTCTTGCATTTGGAGCGGCATTGTTGTGGCAGGTATTCCTGGTTTCTTAGCAGGCTTCTTAAGCAATGGCTTTTTCTAAGAGGTAATGTCCTTGTCTTGGTAATTTCTTGTCACTGAAGTCAATTCAACAAGGTTCATAAGTTTTCTTGCAATTGTATTAAAATTTACATTACTTTTATGGGATCATAAAAGTATGGAAATATCCAATGATGACTTCTTCACAACCCTGCACACATACCCTAGAAAAAAAAGAAAATTACTTGAAACAAAATGACTTGTCATTTGTCGAATGACAAGTGATGTGTTCTTTTCAGTATAATGGTGATTATTGAGCATTATAGACCATTATTGCATGTTTTGTCCCGAGTGACATGTTGATGATACTAGGGACTCGTTTGCTTCCTCCCCTGGATAAGAAGAAGATGACGATGACAAATTTTCCAGATTGATCTTATTCTCTCTTAAAACTGGGTGAGGCTTCTCAGATCCTCTTTAGAAAGGCTGTGAATCTGCAAAAGGTTTACCATTCTGTGTCACTTGCATATTTGTATGAGATAATAGAAGTTATTGATATAGTCTTCTCTATCGTCCTGCACAACTATTAGTTTATGCTAATCTTTTCTTCTTCCTTTTTTTTGTGGTTTGCTAGGTGAGCATTACTGATATCAGAAATGGGTGCAGAAGGATCTATGCCTGAGACTGAAATGAAGCTGAGATTAGAGAGTCTACCCTCTTTGTCTGTACCTGTTTTCTGATAAAAAGTTTCTCTGATGGAGAAGTTGATCACTCAACTTCAAGATAAGATTCCATGGGTAAAAGTTTAATGGTTGTCTTCCACCTCATTTTGTCTTCTTGTTTTATATTCAACTTAGGTCCTTGTTCTTGACATTTAAGTACACCTTATTAAATGTTTTGCTTGCTTGCAGATCTTTTAGAATTCTTCTTGTCTGGATACCCTGTTATTTCAGTGCCAATGATCAACCTTCAGCTTTCGTCAATGATCTTGCTTGGGTTGGTACTGGTTGTTGTACTAGAACACTGTTTGGTAATGAGCTTTCGTCAATGATACCTTGTTATTTTGGAATTCTTATCTTCTCTTTTTCCCAAATCGATGGAGCGACCTAAGCCCACCACCGATGATGACTAACGCACCACCAATAAAACCATCGACAATGAAACCAACCAACCATTGTCTGACTAATATTCTCTTTTACTCCGTCTTTCCCTTTCTCTGTCTCACGCATGCACACAATACACATGCACATAACAACACATTCCCTCTCTTAATCTCTTTCTTTGCCTCTCTCTATCTTATGCACGCACACATCACACAAGGCAACACATACACACAGCACACACGCATGGAGAAGACAAAGCACATACACAACACACAACATCACGTGCAGAGACACAACACACACATCACGTGTAGAGACACAACACACAGCACATGCACACTCACACATATCACACTTAGGGGCGGAGCCATGAGTTCATCTTAGAGGGGCAAAACATGAATAAAAAATTAAAAATAAAATTTCTAAGTTTAAACATGAGAGATATATTAAAAAATATATGACAATGAAAATATAGAACTATGCAAAAAAAATTCAGTAATTTCCTTCAATGTATACAATGAAAATGTCTATGATAAAATCAACTTTCATTTTGTTGCGAAACATAATTAAGAACATTATCCATCTTGTTAAAAAATTAATTATTTAAAAAAGCAAAAAATACTCTTTTGATTTAGAATATTTTACTATTTTGCATCCAATCGTGTTTACAACTGGTCATAACCCATTAACTTAACAAAAAAGAGCTGGATACAACGATATAAATTTTTTTTAAAAAAAAATGAAACAATATAAGATATGAAAGAGAGCTGTATTATCTTCAAAATATCTCACATTTATTTAACATCGTCTAAAAATGAACTATATTTTAATGGATTAGTAGGCCGCTGATTTATTGAAAACAATAATATTAGGACATTCTATACAAATTGTCTAAAAATTTAAGGGGGTCAATATCTTAATCTCTAAGGGACTCATTATGATTTAATACTATATATGAAAGGATTCTTTAAAGGTAAATAGGGCAAGTGCCCCCTCTTCCCGTAAGAGTAGCTCTGCCCCTGCACACACACTCACATATGTAACTCACAGTGACATTCAAACACACACGCAACTGGACATATAGGGCTTTGTTTATCTTATGACTATTTTTGATGAAATTTGAATGTGGGATTTATGAGATTTGGGTGGCTTGATGGAATTGATTATTAGGGTTTTGCATCAAATTGAGTGTTAATTGCCTAGCTAAACTCAACAATTATTTCCAATCTTAATTACCTTGGGTGCTTGGAGAAATATAGAATCAAATATTTCATCGTCATTTTGTTACACTGTATCACATAGTTTGATTAAAGTTCTATCATGTTTTTCTCAATTTTCCTGCGAAGTTCTATTGGTGTTATTGTTGCCACGACTGTAATGTTTGAATGACCTTTAAGGGTGGGAGTAAAGGTTGTAGCATTTGTGGGTGTGAGTCCTGATTAGGTTTGTCACCCTAGGTTGGTCCAGAGCTGGTGGATTTGGATGGCTCTTCTATGCTAACAAAAGATTCTAATGTGCTTGAGCCTTTTGTTCACTGCCTTCTCAGAGTCAAGTTCTAGTGATGCAGTTCTTGCAGATTGTCTTAGTAATTATTATAAATGACATGTTAAGTGTTTTATTATAAAAAGACATGGTAATTTATTTCTATGAGGTGTCATAAATGGCATAGTGGTTAAAACTGTTATAAATGGCATGTTAATTGTTTTATTAAAGAGAAGTGGTAAAAAGAGTGGGAGGATTTTAAGTGTTATGAATTACTCTCTCTCAAACAGACGAAACCCTAAAAAACTGCCCCTCTTCTGTCTCTTTGCCCTTCATGTCCTATTTTACTCTTATAGAATACATTGGTTTTTTGTTTCTTTGTTATATTGTCAGTAAGCTTTTTCCTAATTTCTTAATAAATGTCTAAGTTAAGTGTCTTTTATAAATTCTGTTATATATTGGTTCCGCAGTCTTTTTTTTTTTGTGTGTGTTTAGCAGATTTTACTAATATTATTTTCATATATATTGTAATGTACATCTATTGATGACTTAAAAATATTAAATTAATATCTGTTATCCAGTTTTCTTTTTGATATAAAATTGGAAATAAACTAATTATAGCTCAATATGCTCTTATATGTAACACTAATGTTGAGACATATTTCCGGTAGCACCCTTGTAATGAATTTTAGCTATGTTTAATATGTTAGATGATATATTTTGAATATATGATGCACAAATAATATTGCTTACATTTTTTAGAATTTTTTGTGATTTTTTCAAAAAAATTTGGGCCTTCTATCTATCATTTTGAGCGTATTGGCTGTACCTTTTGAGTCGATGACCTATACCGCAACATCGAACCATATCTGTGAACTTTGATTTTTCATGTTGGTCACGAGGGAAATGTTATAGTTGGTGATGATGTTATGTGATGTCCATTATTGTTGTCCCCTTTTGCTTCATTACCTGTTCTAGTTGAATTTTTTACTTTCAAGTTTCATTTAGTTGCTTTTTATCACTACTCTTTCTTTCATTGTGCAATTAGGATGCTGGCATGCATTGGTAATACAACCTTTTTCTGCATAAAACCTGAAACGTAATCTTGGATAATGGATTACATGGTGGGTCATCATGCATAGAGTGGCTACTCTTATGCTGCCTTCGTTTTTGTCAAATTTGTCCTATTATGCTTGGTTGGTTTTAATTTATTGTCATTATTGTTTTTTAATTTAATTTGCTTGGTATAGGTTAGGATTGAACCTTTTATTGTTTGTACTTAATTGTTGATGTTGGCACTTGAAGTGAATGGGACACTTCAATTTTTTAAGATTAAAGATTGGAATATTGCTTTAAAGATATACTTCATATTGATTTACTATTTTGTGTTGGGTGTACCAATCTCTATTTGAGTTTAAAAGGTGTGCTTTAGTTCACAAAGTTTTGTATATGGATCTATTTTCTGTTTACGTTTTTTTCTTCCTTATTTATTGTCACTGTCATGTTGCTTTGCCATTGTTCTGGTATCATTGATCCGTACTAATATTTGGATTTTCTTTCGATTTTTTTTATTTGGAGCTTGACAGTACAAAACATCCAGCGAATGCAATGTTGCAGATTCAAGACCAGAGGAGCCCCCCCCCCCCCCCCCCCGGCCCGCGGGCAGCCAAAAGTTTAGGCAGAGGGTACTTGCATAAGTTATTCAAAATTGTTTTGCGCTATGCTATTTAACAATGCTTGGACAGTCTCTTGGCTCGTTTCATATTTGAAATTTGTACGATTGTGTTTTATCCCAATCTTCAAATAAATACAAATAGAACTGTGTTTTCATGTGTATGGTTTCTTTGCATACTTCTTTTCTAGTATATTGTATTCTCTAAATTTTTCTGAGAGATTTTTCAAAATTTCTTGCTCCTGTTGGTGATAAGTCTTGTTTCTAGCAAAATCATGCCCAATTAGTCTATTATTCTTAGGAACCATTATACAGAAAATGATTGGACAATTGCACTGCGTATTCTCTTGGATGATATTTCCCCAGAAGGTCTTCGCATCAGACAGCCTTCAATTCGAAACCAGTTTCTTTAGGACAGAACAAACTCGCTAACAAGGTAAACATAAATATTTCACAATTTGGATTAATAACTACAAGATCCATAGATTAGAGGTAATATGAGTCCGAACACTATACGGGACGATTTTCTTACTCGTACAGTTTAGGCTGAAGACCAGGGGAATTTTTTTTTTTTTGTGTGTTTGGGTGGGGATTGGGGGGGGGGGGGGGGGGGGGGGGGGGGGGGAAGGACCAGCACCTGTCATACAGTTCAGGCTGAAGACCAGAAGTTTGAGAGGATTAGAACCAGCACCTGCCATACAGTTCAGGCTGAAGACCAGGAGAAGCTTGGGAGAGGGTTAGAACCAGCACCTGCCAGAGAACGACCCGTGCTTGTGCATGCGAGAGCGCGGGTGTAGATCATCGCTTGTAGCATATGTTAGTGCTCTCATAAAGAACTGTTAGATGAAGGGTGTCCATAACTGTTAGTGCAACCTGCTGGCTGATAGCAATCATAATGCAAGACATTCTACCAAACCAAACCCATCAAAACCACAAAGTGAGATTATAATTTCCTTGCAGGACTGTTCCACATTTTAAAAACAACAACGATATCAATAGCCACCAATCCAAGTTACATTACAAATTCAATTTAGTTTAGTATAACTCGAAAACAGTATCTTCTGTGGTAAGGACATATCCAAGGGTGAAATCAACAATCCAGCCACCCTGAAAGAGTATTACTTACAAAAATCATCAGTGATCACTTCAGCAAATCACTAAGATTGCAATCAATTAACTGGAAACACAATACAGACAGCATTTCGAAACTCCCTCAAACAAAACAGTATCAGATCCACTTATACACTAGTTCAACTATGATCAATTAAGTCCCTGCAGTGGGCAATGCAGCCATAAAAGAGTTGTAAGATGACTCGAGATCGAAGTGAAGCTGCCGAGCCTGCTGCTCTGTCAACTCATCTGCTGCCCCCATCTTCGACAACCGCCCAATCCAGTCTCTCATCTTTGTCTTCCCCTCAAATTCAGGCGGCAAAATAGAAAGCTTATTAAGTGAACCTGATAAATCAGAGAGCAATGGATGAACTTGATCCACAGCCACCATATTCAACTTCAATGAGTCCATCGCAGTAATAAAATTCTGCACACATTCAGCCACATTGGCTGCCGAGGTAGTTGCCGACATTGCCGCAGCTGCCCTGTGCTCCACAGTGGCAGGAACGCCAGAGGTCACAAGGCGGTTTATGGCAGCCTGGCAGTCCATTTTATAGGTATCATGGAACCGCTCAATACTCGGGACTGTGTCTTTCAATGAGGAAGATAGGGTTTTAAAATGAGCAATCAACTTTTGGCATTCAACCTCATACTCTGCTGGTGAAATTATGTCACGAATATAGGCCTTTTCAAGCTTCTCTGTTGCTTTAATTATTGCAAAGAGCTCAGCAAAGTTTTCATACATCTCTCTTTCGCGCTTGTCATTCCATAGCTTAACCTCCATTGAAGAGTTTAATCCCGGGTTGTGGACCAAATTAGGTTTATGTATTCGAATTGGAGAAGAGGACGGGACACGCGCAAAAAGAATCTAAACTTCCCTGGACATCAACCAAAACAGTAAACACATTAGATTCAGAACAATACCATAAATCGTGATCATGAAATTCAAAACATTACGACAATCTATATACATCGGGGATCATGAAATTCAGAGCAACAATATATAATATCGACCTGAGTGCATCAAATGAATCTGGGTGTGTCTATATATTGGATTGTGCGTGTGTATCTATAAGAATGCATATCTACATGTATATACTGCAGATACACATGAAATCTAAGAGGAAAATTTCCAAACAAAACTAATTTACATCATTTGCATATAATGAAAAATAAAATATGAATCTAAGAGGAAACCCTCACAGAACAAACAGTTAAAGAGAACATTAAACATCGAACCAAAATAAGAAGGAACAGATGTTACAGATCATAACAATGGCAAAGAAATGATAAACCCAGAATCAAAACAGCGCAAAATTTCAAAATTGGAATCCCAACAACACAGTCCTTATATTTCAGAATCCAAATTTATAGATCAACATACCCAGAACTAAGACATAATATGATTCAATAACTCAATCAGAATTTCCACATAAATATATATACATACACGTATGTAGAGAGAGAGAGAGAGACATACAGAGAGCGAAAACGCGGCTTTGAATAATGGGAAGAGTGTTGCAGGTAGAGAGGAAAGAGTATGGGTGGAAGCAGGTTGTACGCTTGTGGACAGAGAGGTTGCGTGTGCGAAATCAGATCTAATAATAGTCCAATTCAGTAGGGGATGGCACGTGCTTTGCGCGTGCTTATCCCCACATCGTTTTCAAGCATGCTATCGGATTCGGACAGGTTCTTAGTCAATCCTAATTCGATTCAAATTAATGATTCGATTCCGAACCCGATCAAAATCGCCGGATATCATGTATGAAATCTCAATTTAATCACTAGAACACTGAAAAACAATTCAATTACAGCACGCGCTGTAATTGAATTCGATCAAAATCGACGGATATCATTTGTGAAGTTCCAAATTAATCACTTCAAACAAAGAATTTCATCTCAATTGCTGCACAAATGTCTCAAAGTTCCAAGAGCTTACGCTCAATTTCGGTTCCCTTTCACCAAATATGTTCGAACTGAGGCTCAATTTCACCTCGAAATTCATAAAAGTTCGAGCCAGATCTTACCTGTGAGAAGCCCGAAAACGGGGCCGAGAGCGGAGCTTAGATTTGTTCAGAAGAGAGAGGAAAGGGTTCACCGGCAAAGAGGGTGGTTGACTGGCAGTAAACGGATAGGTGAGGAGAAAGAAAGATGGAGGCCGGGTAGGAATTAGGATCATTTTATACATTACATCCATTTTGCAAAGACAGACCTAAACAAAGTGGTGTAGTGGTCAAAACCTTGTTTTCCCCAACAATGCAATTTTGAGGAGGGATATTTTTAAACCAATCGATA